TGTGTTTACGATGGTTGTTTTTTCTTTTTCTTGCATCCCTTTCGAACGCTGCACAGCGGACCCGCTGTTGATCATGAGGACCAAGGCTGAGATTCACGAAGCTTTGAAGCCTGTGGTTATCATTGGCCTTCCCCGGGCCTCAGACTCTCGAGAACCGGGTGGCCCGCCTTGAAGAGTTCCAGTCTGATATGCTAGCTTGCTACCGTATCCGCCTGTCCGGATGCGCGACCTTGGAGAGATGGCGCTTGGACATTTTTAACGGAGACCGTAAATTTTGGGCCCTCAAGGACGAGCTTTTGACGCTCGTCGTGAAAGATTTGGAAGGTCCCCTCATGTTGTTTTTCCAGAGCCGAGTAAGCTTGCGAGCGTCCTGGGAGAGCTTATAAGGAGATCCTAGGAACTCCACCAGCGCTCCAAGTTTTTAGTAGGGGGTACATGGGGAGAGCGCGTGGATATCAAGTGGAAGCCCGGCTTGATCGGTCTCAGCGCTGAGGACCCAAGCTTTGCGAAGCCTCTTCAGAACCCAAAGTCTGGGTCCCCTTGAGCGCTGGGGAAATGTCACGGAGACGGAAGCGTAAGGCCGATGCCGTGGGCAGCATGCAAGGGCCGAGGCCGAAGCCGATCACCAGCTTGTGGGCCTTGGGGTGCTTCCGTGGCAGGTACTTCGTAGACCTTGACGTGGCAGGTGCACTTTCTTGGACCTTGAAGTGCAGATTTCGTAGCGGGCGCAGTACTTTGGACATGGTGGTGGTCTTCGGCGTGCTCTGATTTGGACGTGTGGCTCGTTTACAGATATCGTGGCAGGCAGTACTTCTTGAAGTGCGCATCTTGTGGCAGGCGCGGTATTTTGTAGACCTTGAAGTGCAGATTTCGTGACAGGCGCAGTACTTTGTGGACCTTGAAGTGAAAATTTCGTGGCAGGCGCAGTACTTTGTGGACCTTGAAGTGCAGATTTCGTGGCAGGCGCTGGCAGGCGCAGTACTTTGTGGACCTTGAAGTGCAACTTTCGTGGCAGGCGTAGTATTGTGGACTTTTCCCAGCTTGCAAACCCATCCACGATCTCCACCTTCATCACCACCATCGCTTCTGGACCCCACTGCGTCGAGATCTCTAGGCTTTCTGCTGCTGCGCCTCTCTAGACCTCAAACACATTGTTTGGGGTCTCCTCCCGGGATAGTTTTCATTCTTTGATTTCTTTTTTCTTGTCTGGCATTTTAACATACATGGAGTACCTGAGCAGAAGTTTTCGACCAGTTCAAGTTTGGGCCGCGCGACCTTGCAACAATGGGACCAAAGGTTGACCGAGCCCTCATGTGGAAGAGCGCCTTGACAAAATGGAAGACTTCGAGGGTTCTGTGGAGACTTCTTTGCGCGGCTGAGTTCGGGGGGTACTGGCGCATGAAACTGGAACCGGTAGCTTCCTAAGTTTGAAGCCTTGGTCACAGAATTGTTTGAAGACGGCCCCACTGAAGGCCAACGAGCTCTAAGCTAGTTTTGTGTGATTTTCGGTGCCCCAAGCGATCCGCTTTCGTCGCGTTTTCATTGCTCTGCGACCTAGCTGGTTGGCCAGCGTGTTTTTGCAGCAGACATGCGTAGGAAGCACGGGAAAAAATCCCAAGCTTCTCGGTCCAGAGGGCGTCGATAGTCCGACCATGTGAGGTCTTTCTGCCACCCATCATGGCCCTTTACACGCCCCATGTCTCAAGGCTGCTGAGAGTCGACAATTTTGGATGTTGAAACAGAAGCTCGCAGAGACAGTGTTGCTGGATCTTGAGCCCTTCCTTGCTCAGCACTTCCAAGATCCCGAAGCTCATTCAGATTCGTGGATGCGGTTTGGCCTCAAAACCCTACGTTTACACGACTTGGTCAAGAACGACCTTTGCCCTGCACTGCGAAGCATTACCCAAAAAGAAATGGAACGCGGGCTAAGCGCCGGAACGATCCCACTCCTGTCGGTGCGGTCGTGAGCGTGGTTGCTGTGAGAGCTGTTGGAAGCCTAGTGGCGGACGTACGTCTTCCTTGGATTTTGGCTAGGGAACTTGTAAGTATCTTGTCAGTGTCTGGTGACTTAGTTCTGAAGGGGTTAGGAAGTTCTGTAAATATGTAAAACTTTTATGTTAAGATGTGGCACTTGCAAGTTAGTTGTCAAAAGTTAGCAAGTAAAAAGGTCAAAATAAGTCATAGCGAACTTAGGGCACTTAACTTTTTAGAAATTTAAATTGTCCAAGTTTTCTTAAATGTCGAACAAAGTGTAAATACGTTGTTTTTGCGGTTCTTTTGAGATGTGAAATAAGCAGTCGGCCCAATCTTAAAGGCACATGCATACATATGCGGTTGGTGGCCTCCATATACAATATGGTTGGCTGGCATCAGCAAGGATGGCACGCGCAATGCCTTTATCATACTTTGAAGCAAGGGGTGAGCGCAACAACTTGAGGGTTGTGTTTTTATATCACCTCCCCCTTAAGGGGGGGTGCCCCAGAACTTTTTCAATTTTTTCTAAAACATTAGACAAGGCCCTTGATTTTTGATATTTTTTGGATGAAAACGGGATAAGCTGATATCAACCGCTGACAATCGAACTGACAAAGAGAGGGCTTCTCGTGCCATACCACGTTTGTCAATACCGTGGTATACCTTTTTGCCTGGGATGTTCTAAGATAAGACCTGCTGAGACCTGTTATGACCTGGGTCACTTGGATCAGGATCCACTACTTGGAATGCTCGGCCACCAGCCAGCAGCAAGTGGCCACCTTCCTCCGCAGCGAAGCGCGGCGCTTGGCGTCCGCTCGACCCTGGACCACCTCTTTGGTGGTTTGCAGGGAAGTGAAGGAGCCTCGGTGAGGGAAGAGAGAGAGAGAGAGAGAGCGGAAGTATCTGGGAATGAGACACACCTTTCGCCAGGAATGGGAGGACTTCGATGCCTTTGATGCATGGGTGTTGAACAGCATGCATGACCTGGATGAACTGGTTGGTCTGGTGGTCTTTCATCCTTGTACGGAGGCTTAGACTGGGTCTGGAACGGTGAGTCATGCGGATGACGGATGACATGAAGAACTGAAAACGGCAGACGGCACACGCATCAATCACCAAGGACACCACGGCCTTCTGATAACACAATGGGATTTTAAGTGGAGGTTGTAAAGGATAGAGTGCAGATTGTCAAATTATGTTCCAGCTACAAAGTATGTGCAGGCGGCCCATAAAGACGAGTTGCAGTGAAAGATTCGGTCATGGCCTCTCATTCCAGAGAACATTCTGGGACAGTATTTTCTGAACAGATCAATCTTTTGTTTTTGTTCTTCTTCTGTTTTCCACTTCTGTGAATTGATGCTCATTGATGCAGTGGTCCGCATCCCAGATTTTGCTCGCTGGCCCTCGCTCGCAGCTGACGTGGTGGAAGGTCGTCAAGCTGCTGGGCGAACACAAACTGCGAACGGTGCGTGGCGAACTCGTGGCTCTGGGGAATGTCCGCTGTGAGACGAAGTGGAAGGTCAAAACGGTCAAAACCTCTGGGCGCGGTTCCACTGATCAGTCGTCGAAGGTTTCATAGACCAATGACTCAGGTCGCAGAAGTGAAACAAAGACCACTGTTCATCGAAGTTCAAAAACTCGGAACCCGGACCCAGACATCTTGGTGAGATCTCAGATCCAAGGTGACCTCCTACTATGAGGAGTCTGACGGCCGCAAGAGCAGCAAAGCGTTGCCCGCCACGGTGCAGTGCCTGGATCCCAAGCGTGTGGGTGTGCGGCGGATCGGCCTTCGCTTCCTGGACCGGGGAAAGCGGAAGAGGTTGAAGAATAGGGGAATGAGCGGAACACCAATGGTGGGATGATTTTTATGACATTCTTGGTGCTTGGGCACTCTTTAACCATATCTCATGGTAGCAGTTGGCCAGCTTCACAACCAGCTTCACACAGCGGTAGTATGATCGGCTGATGAGCCGATGGCAATCGTTGCGGCTGAAACCCACGCCATGCACTTTTGAAGGTGGTGAATCAACGGCTTGTTCAAGGGAAGTACTGTAACATCTATACAGAAAAACCATGGGTTTTTTAATGGGTTTCCATGAATTTCCTGCAAACTTTTCCTTCGAGTGAAAGAATTTGAAAGAACCGATCCGGCAGGATGATGGAGTGGTCCAGTGGGTGCCCATCGAATGGCTTCAAGGCTGTGGCGGTGTCCCTTTGTTGGACAATGTGCTGCACCAAGCGCCGCATCCGACGATCCATTTGATCCGACGTGAAGCCTGGCCATAATGACAATGCAAATTTGGTGAAATTTGACTTAGAACAGGTTTTGGGTTGACCACTAATGAGGCTCCTAAGAGACACATCTCCACGAAACAACAGTCGGATCCACTTTAAACTTTAGACTCTGAAAGCGCGTGTTGTTCATTCCTATCTCTATCTGAAGAGATCCATCAAGCACATGACATGACCTCCTCACATACCATTTCACGCTGCCACAGGGCAGCCCTTTTTTTCTCAGGAAGACCTGGACTCCGTGAAGGAGGGCTCCTATGGCACGGTGGCCTCGCTGCTGCGGCGGAACAGCGACTACCTCCGTGAGGTGGACCCGCCCCTCCTCCTGCGAGAAGCAAAAGGGGCCGAGCAGCGAGCGAGGTTCGACAGCCTGGAAGAGTCGTTTGGAGCCAAGCAATGTCAGGTGTGACCAACTAATGGGAGTGTTGGATGCTTTTGGTCTATTTTCCTTTGTCCAGGGGTTCTTTGGGGGGGTCTCCCTATGGGAACTGAATACACCCAGATGTTTGGAAGCCGACAACCACTGGAGGAAGTGGAGTTTGAGCTCCAAAGGCTTCAGATCTCTTGGTCCAACTCGGGTTCTTACAGGACGGTGGGACCAGGGATCATCTACACTTGCGTGCACAATGGACGAGAATCCCAAACCTCAGCACTTGCGGAATATTGAACTGTTTGGGGCAAAGAAGGGTCTATTGCGAGACAGACCTCATAAATTGCCCTCTTGCACCATAATCTATAGATGCTTACTACTGCTACTGACATAGAAAGTCACAGGGATCCCAAGGGTCGACCGGTCGATGCGTGTGGGCACACTGATCCAGTTGGAGGTTTCATGGCGTCGAAAAACCGCTGGCTGAGCGCTTGACCCGTGAAAAGGGCACAAAACAAGAAGATGCAGAACAGGATGAACCTGGGGGCCTCAAAGATTTTCAATCACATGTCACATGTCTCAACTGGATGAGGAACCTCTGCTGGGCTGAGTCACAAGTTCGGGAACCTTCAGCTTTATGGACCACCCATGCTACAAGAAGCTGGCTTGAAACTCAGCCGTTGCCTTAAAACATCAAACGTCAGCCCACCTACGCAAGGGGTCAGAAACGGAAGAAACTGAAGAAAGAACACGAAGATTAATCTATCCGGTCTATCCTCAATGCTTCTCAAAGCCACCCAAGCCTATTCAGAATCCTTCGAAGTCTTCAAATCGCCCCCATGGCGACCCCCCGGGCGCGCCCGTCGGGCGAGATGCCGGGCGCGGTCACGCCACTGGGCAAAGAGTGGGGGATGAGGAGGTGCAGGAGCAAACTCTCCGGGCAGTTTTCGAGGAATTTTGGGGGTTGCATCTAGAATCGTTACTAGGTGGAGGCCATCGCTATTAGGTTGGAGGCCATCGCCCAGAGTTGCCTTGAGTTTTTTAGGTGTTTGACGTGAAGGGAGTTCTTAACGTGGAGGAGTGAATGTTCTTGAAAAGCTGCAGCAGTGCAGAAAGCGACCGCGAGACACCCCAAGACACACAGACAGGGCCTGGGGAAATGAACAGGCCAGGTTTGTTTTCCATCCATTTTGCAATGCTCAACATAATCAGGATTTGGTGGCTGTTTGGGATCCAATGAGCTAGGCAATGCGATCCCTCTACCAACCGGCAAAAGAAAGAAGAGTAGCGGAGGACGCTACGAACCGAGCATTTTGGGCATCGCTACGAACGGGGCGACCCTGGCCTTACTATGAACGGAGCAGATCGGACGCTACAAACGGAGCTCCGGGCATCGCTACTAGGAGCGATCGGACGCTACGAACGGGGCTCCTGGCCATACTACTAGGCTACTAGGAGCATTTCGGGCATCGCTTCAGACCGGGCACCGAGTCGCCTCAGGCTGAATGGCAAGCCCTTGGCTTTAGATCACCTCTTGGGAGTGAGTCGATTGCAGGAGTGACCGGCACTGGCCTGACCCAGTGGGACTCCCACCGGGGTCGTCATCCTGAGAGTAGATAGAAGATGGGACCAGGCCATGGCCTTCATCTTCCTGTTAGTTTTAGGAATGCTTCAGACTTGATCTACTTCAGGATTACAGCACACTCTTGCTCACTAACATACTAACCTGGCCTGGCAATGGACTATCTCACTAGACACTGGTCACTTGACTTGTATTGTAGAAGATTGGCTCCTTCATTGGGAATTCATTGGAGCTTGAGATGGAGGTTTAGTTAGTTGCGCTTGTGAGTCATTCATTTCGGATTGATTGCGGATGATCCCATTCTGCCGCTAGCCATTTTGGGGGGACCAGCGTTTGGATCTTGCACATTATTGATTATTTTGGATTATTGTGCCATGCATTCCCGACGTCATTAGCATGGATTTTATCGGGTTTCTTGACTTTCTCTTCCCCATCATTTCTGCGGGATACTCCAAACTATTCATACCCATACATTTAACATACAACCTGTTTGAGCGAGCTCTTCTTCAAATAGGAACCTGAGTCGGTCCAAATCCGCCTGGGCCGACTACGAAGCTTGGAGCGCAGGAAGTCCTCAGCGTCATCGTTCAGCAGCTCAATGCGCAAGATGAGAGGCCAGCCTCGACGTGCCATCGCTGGAGCTGCTGGGTTCTTTTTAGTGCGGTTTGGGTGTGCACGAGATCGGGCGCCAGGGACAGTGAAATGCACCAGTCTAGGTGAAGTCTGCGAGGTGACCAGGGTCCGATTTGAGGATCCACGATAGTTTTCAAGGCCTTAAAGTAGGGTACAATTCTGTTGCCAGCACTGGATATAGTATGTCCCATGATTTTCGGCATGATTCAACGATACGTCGCTGCCCCATCTGGTCTTTGCGACCGAAAAACGCGCCGCGCAGGATGAAGGGCTTTTGCAAAGAACTCAGTGACATGCAAGCGCTGCAGGAGCCGGCTTTGCAAGAGGGAGACGGATGGGAAAAGATGGCCCGACAGATGGGAGCCAGGCGGCTGGAAGAACTGGGCTGGTGGGTTGGATGACTGGGCTGGCAGGGTTGATGGATGGAAGAATCGATTACTGTAACAAGAAGCTACTAGGGGCTCCTGGCCTTACCACTAGGAGCAAGGACGCTACTAGGGGCTCCTGGTATCGCTACTAGGATCATTCTTGCTACTAGGAACAAGGACGAGGATAGGTTGATACGCGGCGATTCGAAAGCCCAGGAGCGCTCCCTGGGACAGTTCTCCGAGGAGTGGTTTTGGGGCGGAAGGGAGAGGTGGCCTTGACGCCATGAAAGGCAGAGGAAGGCGGTTGGAGATGGGGTGTGTCAAAAAGACAATGATGGTGGGTGAAGAAATTGCACAATTTATTGCTTGGTTCCTTTTGGGGGAGACTTGTTTGGTGCGGAATGTGGCGCGATTGCCAACAAATGGTTGTAGTTGAAGTCGGCTGGCAGGTGGGTTTGAAAGCCAACTGCGTCCTGTACCACTCGAGCAACTGCAAGCGAATGGACTGCCAACTCATACTGAAAGCTGATGTGAGAAATTGGAATACTTTTGGGTTTTCAGTTCCGCATCAAAACGCTTCTCTTGTGCCTGCTTATAGGTTCATTCCAAGTCTTTTGTTGATTAAATTTAGCTAATTCCTCTTCCTCCGGTTGCCATTGGCTATTCCTCCTCCAATGCTCCCTATGGAAGTTTTCAGTTCCGTCAGAGAAAATTCCTACACAAGTTCCTTCTCTTCTCCTGCCCAACCGCCCCTGATCCCTGATCCCGCCGTGCACCAGGACCTTCAGCAGGTCTCAGCACAGCTGTCAACTCAGGACCTGCGGTTCTGCACCCGTGCCTTTCGGAATCGCCAGGGCGGAGACGCGTCGAGTGATTCGCGCCATCGAGAGCAGCACGCCGGTCAGGAACAGCGCGTGGCCGAGATTGAGCCTTGCCGGAAAGGGCGGACAGAGATGTGGAGCCGACCCGTTCGTGACCTCGGAAAGTCGGTACAGTTGTGCCTGCTCTTTGTTCGGGTAATGTTGGATCTGAATTAGCACAAACACCCCCTCCCCCTAGCAAACAATCCAGGCGGTCTGAAGAGTATCACCGCCACAAAAGCCATTATATTATAGTAGTAGTAGTAGTAGTAGTACTAGTAGTAGTAGTAGTAGTAGTAGTAGTAGTGGCGGTGGTAGTAGTAGTAGTTGTCGTCGTCGTCGTCGCCTCGAAGTGCAGATTTCGTGCCAGGCGCAGCACTTTGTGAACCTCGAAGTGGGGATTTCGTGATGGATACGATATACGTCCAACATTCCCTCCCAGCCCGCATTGCCGCCTCAGTGGATGATTATTGCCAAAGACGACCCTGATCGTTTCACTTTCAAGCCCACTTTGACGAGTGAGCCGCAGACTGATTCAGTGAATTCTTTGCATTGTAGGCAAAAGAGCCCCGCAACAACAAAGAGCTTCGCAACGACAGTCCTGTATATAACGACGCAGTCAAAGTTAAAACTTTTTTTGAAAATATTGTTGCAGGTGAAATCTATTCTAAATTCAATTTAAGAACATTTTTGACATCAAAAATACTTAGAACATACGCCACACACTGCAAAACTTAGCATTTGATGCTACTCAGCTGCAGAACAAATAACATAGAACATGCACCACGACCATCCACACATGAAAGATTTTGTGCGGAAACCTGGGAAGAGCTTCAAAACCGAAAAGTCACCCAGGAAGATTTTGTATAAAATCATTTATTCAACTCGTATCACAATTGAAAAGCCTCCAGATCAAAGGGTTCTTTCTTTTTCCCTTTACAATTTTTTTTAATGGTGATTCTTCGTTAGACTAACCACTAAAGCTTTGGAAAGGTGATGTCGCTGTGCCATGTGGTTTTGGACACTTAGACCATCATGCCAAAAACACACACATTCAATCAACTGCTCAGCTGCAGAACAAAGAACATAGAACATGCACCACAAAGAGATGCGGCTCCAAGGCCAGGACTGGTGGCAGGCAGGCCACGCAAGCATTATCGGAGAAAGACATGAGTGGAGCAAACCCAAGCAAGAAGCTGCTGACCGTGCTGAACTGACCAAGTTTGTTGAGGAGAAGGCATTCAAGCGGATTCGCTTGGAAGAGGTGGACGACACCAAGCAAGCGAGTCCTAGCGTCCCAAACGTATGCAGTCTGAGCCCTGCTCTCATTATTAGGATCAGACATTGGAGCGTGCAAGGGTTCGCAGTGCTGATGTCAAATCTAGACACAGCAGCAAGTCAGGTAATTAATTGAGTTGTTTTGGCCAAAGTTCCATTCTATAGATCGGTCATGATCGGTGCTTTGTGGCCCCCCTAGGACTCTAAAAACCGATAAAACCCAGCTCCAACTTGAAGAGAAGGACTCGGACTTGGCATTGTTTGGGGGCCCGACCCGACCTTCGAGCGCTCTCGCGATGGGCGCCGAGGATGAGCGCTCGCGCGCGGCGAAAGATCTGGCGCAGGAGGTGCGCCGGAAAGGGCCTTCGGTCATCCCTTCGGCATGGCATACGCGTGCATCTCAACCCGAAGAGATCAGTGCATGGCCTATGCTCAAGGGTCCTGATCCTGAATGTGGCCTGAAAGAGGTTGGACCATCATGGACCATCCTAGAGGAAATTGGTTGTGTGACTCCACAAGGAACCCTCCTCAAGTATGCTTGAGGGATAAACCCAGCAAGTTCTGAACCAGGTGATGAAAGTTCTTTCCAGGCCGCAACTGAAAGCAAAGTTCATCACACGTTTGGGATGGTGGACAACAGTTCTGTTTCTTCAGTTTGGGTGAGCCAAACCTTGCAAGGCGTTGCGAGACGGCGGGCTTCGGCAGGCGGGCCTCGAGATGTAACGTTCACAAAGGGTTTGGGAGACCAACGTGAATTTTCTATTTTTTAACGGGGGGGTAGGCCACTAGAGGCAAGTTAGCTAGGTCTTAGTTAGTAGAAACCAGAGGTATCCTACCTACAAGTAAGCTAGACGCAGGATAGTTCACGCTTCTTCCAGGAAACTTTCCCCCCCGCCGCCCTAAAGGCGGCGTGGGGAGTTTCCTTCAAGAAGCGCTCGCATTATTCATTTGGTTCCTAGAGTTTTAGGGAAACTTCACTTGAAGACCGGGAAGCAATCCTCTAGCATTTATGGGTCAACAGAGACGATCTCATGAATCATGAATGCTTAGATTTAGAGGTTAGATTTTCCTGCGATCCGGGAAGAGTTCCAGAATACCTAGTAGACTATTTCCCTTCAAATCTACAGGCTTGAGGTTCCCCAGGACCACTTGAAGGTGCTTGAATTGTGGTCACTGTTACGAGGTCGGAGACAAGACTGCATCACACGGATTCAGATTCCTATGGTTTTTCTCAGGGAATTGGCAAAACGCCTCTAACTGAGATCAAAGAGGCTGTTCATTTTGGTGGAGGAGGGGTGAGATGGAACCGCCCAGAGCATTGTTTTGGAAAGCTGAACCATCCAATGGGTGATCCCTACTATAGGGGTAGGATGGTCCGATGGTCCTGAACAAAAAGAAAGTCACACATGCGCCCCAGGCACGCCGTCCTCGCATCCTTGGATTAGGCCAGGTTCATGAGAGTGAGGTTTCTTCGTGCCGGTGCGACCTCTGAGAGCGATCTGTTCAACTGCGACCAGTTCAGATCCCAGATGTGCCCCAGCTCACATTCTCAGATTGCACACCTCCTTTTGTGTGGATGGTTTTTGATGGATCTTCTTTGCATGGGTGTGCCGATGCTCGCCTTTTGCTCGCTCGATTTTCTTGAAAGAAAATGGAACATTTTCTGCTGGACAAAATGTCGATGCACTAGGGTGGGGGAAGGTGGTTGGCCAAACCATTTTGGCTCAAGCCACCCTTCCAAATTTTTGAGTTTGGAGGGATGCCTTTCGCGGGCCGCATCCTTGTGGCCTTGGTCGCTTGCCATGTTCCCGAGTGCGGAGGCGGCCTTGCAAATGGGCAACATCCCGGAACTGCTCTCGTACTTTGCGGTGCCGGAGGAGCTGTGGGCGGCCTTTGTGCGGGAAGCGGGAGCTCCGGGCGACGACATTCGCTTGCTGGCCGCTTTGCCTGGTTCCGTGGTAGCCGCTTCCTTGAACCAGGCGACCTTGGCGGACGACGTGGCGTTGACGGCAGTTCAGGCGGCCCAAGTGGGGCTGGTGTGGAAACTGGCGAGAAGGCTGATGTTTGTGCGAGGTGGAGGCCGGTGGGACGACTGGGTGGAGGAAGACCCTTGGACACCGACTTCGAGGACAACGAGAACGACGGCACCTGCGGAGAGGACTACATCCACCGACGAACTCAAGGAGGCGAAGGAACGGACTTTGAAATTCACCCAGGTACTAGATCAAGGAGACGATGGAGAGTTCGAGGTGCTGAACGAAGAGGACAAGATGGGGTTGCTCCAGAAGTTCATTGCGGTGACTGGATCACTGCCGGAAGAGGAAGAGGAGCCCACGATAGAACAATTGTCAGCACTACGAAAGAAAGTTCAACTGGGCAAACCGCCCTACTGCGACTTCGGGGTCTTTGTTCCTTTCGGAAGGAAAGCACTACGGGCTTCGAAGTACAGGACATGGATCCCGACGGCCGAAGGCTACGTGTCGAAGGAACTACCTGGTCCGGCGAACTTCACACAGTGGAGGGCTTGCTACCGGGTCTTCACCACGGCAATGTTGATGTTGGAGGCTTGCTCACTACCACCATTACACGCCTACGAGCTGTACGTGGAGAAGTTGACGAGGCTGTATCCGGACGCGTGGCACCTGGTCTACGCGGCGGACGAGATGGCGAGGAGCGAATTGCTATCAAGGCTCATGAGGATTGCCATGGACAAGATGGAGGGCAAGAAGGTTCCATTGGGCTACGACGAGAAGAAACCGTTGGAAACACCGTTTCGTATGATCCCAAGCGAGCTGAAGTTTTGGCAGGACCAGATTCATGGACCTGCCCTGACGTGGATGGCTGCCGGATCGAAAGGAAGAGCACTAACTCCTCAGGAGACCATTGCACAAGGAGCCCTACGCGGAGGTGCAGAAGCTCTTCAACCCAGCATGGAGTCGGGGGCATTCGGAGCCACTTCACCGTCAGCGGCGTCTTCAAGTCGAAGGAACGCGAATCGAGATCGCAAGGAAGCGAAGAAGAGAAAATGGCAGGCCGAACGGGAAGAGCTTCAACGACTCAGAGAATCCCGAAACGATGGAAGTGGAGGATCTCGTCAAGGAGGAAAAGGAGGCGGGAAGAAAGGGAAAGGAGGAAAGCAGTCCGAGATTTGCTTCAGCTGGAACAATGGGAATGCACCTTGTGGGTCATTGCCGGCGGGAGCGGAATGTCAGAACACAACGAAGCGGGCTCATCGTTGCTCTTCCTGCGGTTCACCAGGTCACCCAGCTCACCGGTGCGGTCGAAGAAATAGGGAAAGCGGTTGAAGATCAAGTAGAAGAAGGGGCACGCGATGGTGATGATGCACCGGAGGGCTCAAAGAAGAAGGAAGGGGGTGAGGACGGAGCAGAAGACGAAGGTGCTGGCAAGAAGAAGTTGGAGGAGTCCATCAAGGCGTACATCAAGGCTCGCAAATTCAGGTTCGTTCACCACTTCTCTGGGCCTCGGGATCCGCTGGGAGCTGAGATACATAGAATGGCGAAGAAACGTGGCATGACGGTGGAGGTGATCTCGGCGGAGAAGGATTGGGGCCAGGACCTTTGTGCGGACGAACCTTTCAACACGCACCTTGGTTGGGCGAAGGAAGGGTTGATCGACGGCTACCATAGTGGGTTCCCTTGCTCGACCTTTTCTCGCCTCCGCTTCAGGGAAGCCGAAGGACTACCTCCCCCAGTTCGAACTCGAGCTGAACCGTACGGGTGCAGATCGAACTCCGAGAAGCAGCAGAAGGAGTGCGACAAGGGGACGGTGATGATGGCCAGATCGGCGCAGATGGCCGAGGAAGTAGCGAGATCAGCGACCTCATCCATCGTCATCAAACCCACGACTTTGGAGAACCCTCCACCTTCTGAGCGGAGTGATCACGTGTCCGCTTGGGGCATGAGTGAAGTGGTGGCGTATCTTCGATGCCCCGGAGTGAAGGTCACCCAGTTCAACACTTGCGGCTATCAAGCGGATCGGGCGCGAGGTGATCGACACTGGAAGTTGCAGCAATTCGCAGGGACACTATTCGGCATCGAGCAACTCAACAGGGAGTGCAAATGCGGGAGTGCAAAACACCGAGCAATCATCGGGAAGAGAGCCTCTCAAGAGTCGGGGGAGTACCCCTGGGAGCTATGCAACGAGTATGCCAGGCTGTTGATGGACCACTTCGAGAAGATGGCAACGGCGGAATACCTTGAGGGCCGCATGAAGGAGTTGGACCAATTCCATGACGGCTTGTCAACGGGCGATGCCGAGGCCACGAAGATGAGAGAGCTGAGGAGGAGGGAAGGGGTGAAAGTGTCACCATCGTCGGAGCCGGAAAGGAGGAGGAAAGAGAGAGACGATGATCAAGGACGACACGAAGGAAAGCGCAGAAAAGTGGACGAAGGAAGGGACAAGGGCCCGTCTCGAAAGCAAGATGACCGGCGAACACAAGGGGAAGGAAGGAGGAGGTCGAGGTCAAGGTCCACGAAACGACGAAGGGAGGAAGGACCCACCACATCAAGGCGGAGAGCAAGTGATTCGAGGAGAGACAGTGTGAGGAAGGAGGACGAGAAAGAAACAGCAGACCTACGCTGGAAACCCGGAAGCGGGAAATATGGGATGCTGAGGGAAAGCCAGAAGAAGGAACAGAAGCTCGACCAGCAGGACTTCGTCGGAGGTGGTGGAGGGGCTTCCAACACTCCAGAACCTGGGGCGCAGGATATTGGGAGCGTGGGAACGACTTTGTGGTCAGTGCCCGCAGATCACCAAAGTGGGAGAGACCTACGGCTCGCCAGACTGCGTCATGGAGAAGAAGTGGGTCGATCGATGGAAGGGGGAGCTGCGCAAGTTGACGGGCGCGAAGGGGGCATCGACAGTGAAGCTGAAGGGAAAATGGTCGTATCAATCACCACTGGATGGGAACCTGTTCGAAGCTTGAGGACGCCGAGCCAACGACCCGGAGACGGAGGTGGCCAAATGGATCAAAGATGGGGTGCCCCTGGGAATCAATTCAAACATCCGCAGATGCAACATCTTCCCACCAGCGGACGACAAGCACCACCAAAGGGAGTTGGGGGACGTGGATACAGCCCAGAGCCTGCGGGAGGACATCGGAAACTACGTCTCGGTGGTGGAGCAAAGGGAGGATGCGGAAGCGGAGATAGAACGCCTGAAAGGGCTGGGCTATGCCATCGCGGTCCGGAAGGAGGAGGTGGAAGCAGCGGGCTTCGAAGGGGTCACCATTTCGAAGCTGGGGCTGATCGTGAAGACGAAGGAGGACGGGTCCAAGAAAAGGCGGATCATTATTGACCTGCGCAGGTCCGGAGGCAACAATAAAGCACTCCTACCAGAAAGGCTGGTACTGCCCAGGCCCATGGACGCGGTGCTGATGCTGAAGAAGTTGCACTTGCTGCACGCGGAGGAGAAGGAAGCGCACCGACGAACCATGGAATTGGTGATGGTGGACATCTCGGATGCGTACATGCACCTGGCCATCAAGGAGTCCGAGAAAGGGCATTGCTTGGCACCAGCACTGGATGACGATCACTGGCTACTGTTCGTGGCGCTATTGTTTGGCTACAAGACGGCACCTCTGACGTGGAGTAGGGTGGCGGCGATGGTAGCGAGGCTAGTGCAGTCCATCATACCGGCGGAGAAGGGCATGCATCAGGTGTACTTGGATGACAGCCTGTGGGCACTATGCGGGACGCTGAATGAACGCAACCGCATCCTATCGTGCATCCTCACCACGATGGCAGCGCTGGGATTGAAACTGTCACTGAGCAAAGGAGAACGCGGGGCGGCCGTGACGTGGGTTGGGATCAGGTTCAAGCTGGTGGCACCAGACTACGATCACCTCATGGTCACCCTGCCGGAGAAGTTCATGAACGAACTACAACAACAGTTGGAGGCTTGGGACAACAAAGGGATGATCAGCGCTACCGAGCTGCGCAAGGCGGCGGGAAGAGTAGCATGGTTGGCAGGCATCCTGCCGCGAGCCAAGTGGGTCACCGCATCACTGTATGCAACTTTGTACAGTCATGAAGATGACGTGAACAGCGGAGCAGAAGCGGAACGGCGGGCAAGGAGAAAGGACCCGAGGCCCAAGGACAACCTGATCCCGGTGAAGCGAGTAAGCAAAGCAAAGCAGTGGCTCATAACCTACCTGGCGGCGGCGAAGGAGCGGCCCATTCGGAAGTTCAACCTGTACAAGAGTGGGAAAGCTGAGGCCACTCTGATGACAGATGCGAGCCCACAAGGTTTGGGCGCCATCCTGTTGGTCAATGGGCGAGTCACGAAGGCTCTGGCGTCGCCGGTGACGGAACAAAGCTGCTGGGCTTCGAGTTCGGGGAATCCAGCTCGCAAGGGGTGGCCGAGACACTGGCCATTCTAGTGGCCCTCAAACACTGGGGGCGACTGCTGGCGGCGGTGAACGTCGAGGTCACGGTCCAATCAGATTCGGTGACAGCACTGGCCTTGACGCAGAAGTTCTCCAACAGCGGACCTGCCCTGAATTTCTTGGGGGCGGAACTGGCCGTGATATGTGAAGCCTTAGGTTTGGCCGACCTACGACCAGTCCATCTACCAGGCACAGCCAACAAGGAGGCTGACTTTCTCTCCAGGCCCGACACTTGGGCCCAAGTCACCCTACCAGCTGCCCTAGAAGGGATTCAGATCGAAACGCCAGCGGAGCGGACGACCAGCTGGTACAGATTGCCGACTCCGGGACCGGACACCACTGAGTGGCAAGAGTCCGACGCCCTGTTGGCAGCCTGGACGCATCGATCCTGAACTTGGATCCGGCGCAGAAAAGGTGAGGAGGAGGTGAGGACCAAAGTCGGGCAGGTCGAGGTTGGTCGACGTTTCGGACACGTTCGACGAGGCCGTTTTGCACCTTTCGGGGGGGGGGCGACGGTCATGACGGGGGGGAAAACCCGAGTTTTTCCGGCTCAAAGATGGAGCTGACGATCCCGCACACTTTGCAGGCGGCTCCGGGGGTGACGACCGCCGAGTCCTTTCCATGGAGGGTTTACTTGCTTTTCTACCTCGTCGCAACAGGCATCCTAGCCAACCTGGCCTTCGGCATATGGGCACTACACCAATTCGCCCGAGTATGGCACCGACTTCGTCCGCGGTGGACACCAAAGATGGCAGGAGAGGCGGAGGAGTCGGACCAGGAGGACCTGCCGGAATGGGACGCTATAGGAGAAGCCTGGAACATGGACACAGCCGGGGGCCTGGGCAGAGTGGACGATACGCCGCCGAGGGAGACGGGCCTCAGGCATCGGACGGGGAGGGAGTTCGAACATCGAGCTCAACCGGTGGCGTGGAGACAACTTCTGGACTACATGACCCCGGAGATGCAAAGGAACCACGGGACTACGAGGCCAACTTCAGCGGTTTCAACACTACTGGATTCACACGCCGCCCTGAGATCGCCCGGGTCGAGGGAAATGACCTCTTCGAGGAACGATTCACCACCTTTGAGGGAATCGGTGAGGGAGGCGGAGGGCATGTCCTGGCTAGTGACCCGGAGGCTGAATTCGAAAGATTCATGGCAACTATGATAGAAGCAGGTGAAGAAGGAAGTTTGCAGGAAGAGACCATGGGCCAGAGACATCGTATGAGGAAGACCAGAAGGACACTGGATGAAGTGGTATTCCCTCCCTTACCTCCAGTACCTCGAGAGGATGAAGGCGAGCGAGCAGAAGGCCTGCTGAGTTTTGTGAAGAGGAGGAACAAAGGAGGAGAACAGATCAAGAAAGAATCAAGGGTGAGGATAGAGATGGAGTCGAGGCAACAACAACAACATCGGGGAGTACTGCATCGGCACGAAGGAAAAGCGTGGATGAGAGCTTCGAGAAAGAGGAGAAGTGATCTGCCCGAGGCCCCTAGAGAGCTTCGAGAAGACGACTCCGAACCTAAATGGAGGCGAGCACTACAGACAGCACGGCTCTTCCGGGCAAACAAGAACCGCAAGACCCACACCGTGGAGAAGCTGAAGAGGGGCTACTATGCAAACTCGTCAAGACGAGCGAAGATGTCGGTGAGGAAGACAGTCGAGAACATCTTGCAGAACTTGGGGGTGCGAGAGAAGGACTCATGCTGGTCCACGGAAACGTTGGAGCAGGTTGGAGCGGTGCTGAAGGAGTCGAACTACAAGGCCGGAGTGACCTACTTGTCGGAATATAAGCAGCTGCTGATCGAGAACGGAACGATGTGGTCCCATCAACTACAGAAGACCTACGGGCAAGTGGCAAGGGCATTGAAAAGAGCAAAGGGCCCTACGAAGAAGGCAGCTGAGGTGGGTGAACTCACGTGGATGGTGGCTATGAAGAAGGAGATCAACGAGGAGGCGAAGGGCATAGTGCACAACCCCGCGCTATTGTTTGCCTTTGCTACGATGTGGATGTTGAGGGAGATGGAATTGGCGGCAATTCACAAGGGGGACATCCAGATCGACGCGAAGGAAAGGATTGTGGCCTTGACATTGAGGGTGGCGAAGAAAGACCAGGAGTGCTTGGAGATGAAGAGGACACTCCAATGCTGTTGCAGAGGGGAGTGTGACTGGTCGGAACCCTGCCCATATAGGATTACATGTGCTGCTCTGGACGCGGTGCCGATCGAAGAGGAGAAGCTGGTACATGGGGACCTCGTGGAACCAGTCTCCAAGTCGCAGATCATCACGGCCTGGAGGAACCTGTTCGGAAAGCAAGTGACAGGCCACTCTGGCAGGCGCTCCGGAGCACTTCAGTACATCCGAAGAGGGTGGCAAGTGCCTCAGGTGGGGTACCTAGGGCGATGGAAGTCCAATGTTATCCTGCAGTATGCGGAGGAAGCGTTGGAGACGATGCCGGTGATGACCAACCCACACAAGAAATTGAAGGGAGGAGAAGAAGCAGCACACAAGCCAAAGGAGTCAGAGACGGCCACAACGGAGTCCAAAGAATGGGCAAAGATCAGAGAGACAGAGCACCAATTGAGAAAGGAGATCACCCACCTGAAGGTCGCGCAGGAGAAGCTGGAGGAGTCGATGGAAAGGTGGGAGACGATCTCAAAACGGCATCACGGCCTATTACCACCTGTAGTGATCTCCAAGATGGGGGTGATACATGCCAACAAGAAACAGCCGGTTGCATCGCCCGTGCTCTCATGGCACACGAGGTGTGGCTGGTTCTTTGGCTGCTCCGTCTTCAGCTTCGCCATGGACGACTCGAAGATCACGTGCCTGAAATGCTCCACCCTCGCGCAGAGCACAGAGGAGGCAACAAGCAAGGGTGGAGCTTAAATGGAAAAGCTCGACTTCTACCAGCGATTTGAAAAGAATGTGTTGAATGAATTGGGTGGTAGAGTGCTGAGCTTGTCTTGAAAGAAAATGGAACATTTTCTGCTGGACAAAATGTCGATGCACTAGGGTGGGGGAAGGTGGTTGGCCAAACCATTTTGGCTCAAGCCACCCTTCCAAATTTTTGAGTTCCCACTCCAGAATAGATGGAGGAGGCAACAAGCAAGGGTGGAGCTTAAATGGAAAAGCTCGACTTCTACCAGCGATTTGAAAAGAATGTGTTGAATGAATTGGGTGGTAGAGTGCTGAGCTTGTCTTCCTGGTGAGATTCTTTCGTTCCGGTGAAGCATGTCATTCGATGCATTTCGGACGTCGTTTTCGCCAATGGACGAGCCCGGTGTACGGCGCCGGCCCGCGACCGACGCACCGACGCAACCAGCGAGGCAGCCCGATGCGACGTCTTCCAGAAGAGGCGGAAGAAGATGATTCAGGCCGATTTTGGGGAGAGCAAAAGAAAGCGTTACTGGCTGGCATGCGAATAGGTACTGTTACTGTGCATATATGATATGACGTTGTATGATACTCTACATAATATGCATGTACTTTATTGTATTTACCGTCCTGAACATATTTACTCGCTTCCTCATCAACCGTTTAGGAACAGTGGGAATCACGTCTGACATCGCGTGAACTTGGACCTGGCTCCTTCAACCCTTTTTGCGTTGGTCGCTTAGCAGTTTGTGCCGACTTGGAGTTTCTTCTGTCGATACCTGCTCTGCCAACAAGCCAACAAAGATTCCTTGGGATCACGGGCCGCATCAGTCAATTAGGTTTGGCAGATCAAAACCGGGGGACCCAAACCAACCAGATCTTCCAAGATTCTTCGTTCAGCCTGATCTCCGCCGGATCTGCCGGTCACGGATGGGCTGAAGATGGGCGACTGGAGACACGGTCCCGGTCACTCGGTGACGCGGCCGAGACACGGAGGGTCACGAGACAGGCTGACGCAGCGAGACAGGGCAGAGTGCGCAGTCGATGGGTTAAGTACGGCCTCAGCGTGATGGCTGCAGCATTTCAAGGCCACTTGAAGATATTGCTGAAGGCTGGAGTTGGCAGGTGGAACACCCTCATTCGTGACCGCTAAGCCCGGCTGGCGCGATTGCAAGGATTCAAGGATTGTCGCTAGCACCTGCCACCAGCTACTGACAGACTAAACTACTTCTGTAGTTCAGAGCGTTGGTTCCTTCACTGTGTGTTGGTTTCACTTTGTTCCTTTTGCACTCCGCAATGAAGTTCTCAAAGGAATCCATGCTCCACATTTCTACGTAAGGGATCGTAAGTGATTATAAGGGATTTTATATGAAATGTCCAAAGCAGTTACGGATGCTTCCACCCACCCGAGCACTCAAAGAATGTGTGAGTTGAACATCTCAACCCGACTTCAAGGCATAGTGGCACGGGACCAAACATCACCCCCATGAACAACAGGTGGCATTGGCCCAAAGCCCCTGCAATCATCTGCAATCTACATCTATTATGTTTAAAGTATATTTAAGGAATCTAAGGATACACAAAAGCTCTACCTTCGCTTCGTTCTGTCACTATCTGAAGAGACCAGCTGACATCGAACCAAGCAGTGCCATCGACCCGTTCGACACGCCACCGAACGGCGAGGTGAGCGGCCGAAGGACGGCGGGAAGAAGGAAAGACAAAGAAACACATCCGTCTGAAAAAGCGGTGTGAAAAAAGCACATCAGTCTGAAAAAGGAAGATGAAAGAAGCACACCAACCTCCCAAGCCTGGCAAACATGTGCTTCTTGATCAGAGGACGCACACAAGAGAGGTTTTCGGGACTCATGGGTCTTCACTCTCCTGTTAATCAATCCAGAAACTTGAAATTGACACTCTTGTGAATCATGTGGCCTTCTTTGGACATGAGCGTCAAGAAGTTCAATGAGAACAGCACTCCTGAGCTGACGACCTGGTAGGAGCTTCCTTACTCTTCCTCTTCAATTGTGCCCCTGTGCCCTTCTCAGAAATGAAGTGCGGGTCCGACAGGGACGGCACTGGCTCCGACAGGGTCGTTTGTCAGGTATCGAACATCCTCATGTCTCGTTGAACGCTGATGCTCACCATGGGATTGGGGAGTGCTGCAAAGCTTTTCTGTACATTTTAGATGATAGAAATGGAATGACATGGATTCGATGATCTTCACAACAGGACCTTTTGTCTGGTAGGCTCTCAGAATCTGCGATCTGCATCTTAAACAACTGTTTTTGTTGTGTTCGGTATCATATGGTATCATGAATCTCTCGTTTTCATTGCCTACCACATGGGTATTGTCAGATGTTCACCCACCACGCCTCGCCTGTCGGTCGCCTCGCCCAGGTCTCCCATCAAGGAGGTGGAGTCTCCGCGGCGTGGCTCCGCCCGTGGCCTCAGCAGCGGAACTGGGCACCTTCTGTCCTCGCACATGTGACGAGAGAGAGAGAGAGAGAGAAAAAAAGAAGACGGACGGACACCTTTTTGTTGGAATCCAAAGGGACAGGTTACAGGTTCACAAGTGCGACATTCTGAATCATGGACATGAAGGCCATCCACCGTCTAAGTGTTCGTCACGTGGTTGATTATTATGCATCATGGACCATATGTATCCTGGATATGGCATACTCTTTGGTGACCCTAGTACCCTAGGTGCATCAAGGTCGCACCACCCTCCCAGCGACCGGTTGGGCTTCTTTCACCACTCCTGGCAGGGCGCGAGTGTTTCCAAGTCCTTTGGTTCGGGTGGCCCAAGCAGGGAGGGATGGAGATTTCACTACTAATACATAGTCATGGACGTGGACATCCACCCGTTTGCAGAGTTTGGTTTGGTCATCTAAAAGGTCATGTTGGACTTCCATGGTTTTAATAAGGATACATGAGGAAAAAAAGACCCAAGTGAAGCTTTTGCCCTTAAAACCTGCGTGGACATGAAGTTTCCATACGTCCTTTCTGAGCCGGACTCGTCCAAGGAAGAATGACTGGCACATGCACATTGATCCTGGATGGCCCTAGATTCACAGATGATATATGGCCAGATGGACCATATGGCTTTGTTTTTGAACATCAGGTGCTCCTGACCAAGGGATTTGTGTTCATCATTTTTCCCCGAATGTCGCCATCTGGAATGCATCGCAAATATAACCTGGCTAGACAAGTAGCAACAGCCGCAGGTGCTCTGCTTTGGATCCATGGTGCAAAGGAGAAGCGTTCTTGATCACAGTGTATAGGTGATGAGGCGCTGCCATTGATCGTGCAGGAGATTGTCACCAGGCAGTTCTGCAGCTTTGGCAGACCTCCAGCACTTGAGGGGAACAACCTCTGCCTGCCAGAAGTGGACTCTGCCAGACGCTTCAGGATGGACGAGGTGTTACCAAAATGGCCAGCAGCAAGCTGCTGTGCAAAAATTTGGAGAGCCAACGAAGATCTGAAAACGTTCCCACCAGGAGGTTGTGCTTTTCAGAATCAAACGATAAATATTGTACAATAGGACTATATATATATATATATAGAGGTCCAATGTTTGTCTCAAACCATTGGGCCAGCTGGATCAGATGCCGAGTAAGGAATCACCTGAAACACCTCGCATTCCCAGGCCTACTTGTCACCCAGAAATTGGACTCGCAGCCCCTGTGCATCAACACCCAACAATGATAGCTTGTGTAGCTGTTCATTTCCAAACAGAAACAGGAAAAATCACATCAAACCGCAAAATCCATCGCCCCTTGGCTCCCGCCCGTCCGCCCAGACCCGGACCCCGTGGCCACCCTGGCGGCGGCGGTGGCCGCCGCGAAGACCGCCTCGCCGCGGAACGAGTCGGGGGCGCCGTGGGGTGGCAGGAGTCGGTCGTTCGGGTCGAGTTGCTGAAGACAAAAAGAGATCGATGTCGATTGTAGAACTTACTAAATGTTTGTTTTTGTGAAGTGTTTCGGGTTAGATGATGTTTTTAAACATAATTTGTGATATTTGATATTTGTGTCATTTGTGGTGAGTTCAGGATGGACAAACCCAATATGGCCACTCCTCCAGATTCCCATGTCCTTTCGGGGTCTGGTGTGACAGTTCCCTCATGTCACTTGGGGAAACACGTGAGTTTGAAAGTGACGAAGGAGCACTGGCAGTTTGCCTAACCTTTTGGTGGATATCCAAATCTTTTTGGGGTCAAGGAGTTGGATTCCATCAGCGAGGAAACTGAAGAGGAGAATGGTATCGGTACAAATGATGACGAAATGGAATACGTGTTATGGAGTTTACATGTGTATAACTAATGTATTTTGCAATTGTATATCTAACATCCTCATACTTGCAGAAACCCAAGAAGAAGTAGGCAATGTGTTTGGGTTCCATAAGACAGACAGACATTCTTGACTCAGCCACGGAGTGAGAGCTCCTTTTTTGCATGGGGGTGTCTTGGAATAGGGACCCCAAGCAATGGGATCAAGTCTATTCTTCCTTCACAAGAGGATCTTCGGGCGGTCACCTTATTTCAATACACGAATACACGCCCACATTATTTAAGCTCTCAAATCTCTCAAACTTGATTTCCCCATTGTCGCTTGTAGACGCTCTGAGCATCATGGCCAAGCGCGTCCGGCTATATAATGCAATCATGCAGATGTCATGTGGGCACGTGATGTTGCCAATTGTCCAACGGCGGATTCATGGCCTGCTGCTGGGGATGATTCTTGGATAGAATCTTCATCATGTTCAAAGTTTCAACCCTTAGCCGCTAAGCCTTAGCCACATAGCGTTGGCCGTCTCACCTCTGGTGAATCCTCAAGGTCGTCACCATGCCATACGCCGCAAGCTGGAGGGCCCAGCGGGTAACCGGGAAGCGGAGATGAGCGAATTGCAAAGGACTTATATTTACATGGACTTACAGTGCATTCTACAAACCTGGACGTCCTTGCCAGTACGTGGTGGAAAGCCGCATTCCAAGTTTTTCTTCTTCCCGCTGGTTTTGTACAGCTTACTTTGCTTTGACATGGAAACTCCAAAAGAGGGAGGACTGAAAACCGCTCCTCTGAAAACTTTGCTGATACTTTCATATCCTCAGTTTTTCTAGACAAAGCTGGAGACCAGCAGACACAGCGTAATTTTAATATTGGGATTTTGGCGTCGTCGGCGCAGGTCTTCTTCTTTGAACATCTTTGAACCTGTTTTGTTTTCGTGTCCAAGCAGACCTCGCATTTTGAACCTCTCAACTCGATCACCCTCAGTTGGACGTCTCCGTGGAAGCGGAGAACGATGGAAAGGGTCTGGGGCTCGGTGGAGTGTCACGGAGTGGGATGAGGCCGAAACGACCATCGTGAAACGTTGGAAGCATGGCCCTGCCGCAAAGCCATTGGGTTTTCTGGGCGACGGGCGCTGCAATCCCCACATGTCTAGTGCAGGTCTTGGGCTTGTGTGGGCTTCCAACATAAGATTTTTGGTCGGTCAAAGGAATAGTTTCCCTCTCACCTTGCATGATTGGCTGAGGTCCCGAGCACGGAAAGAGCTCCAAGGCAGGGAGAAGCTGTGAGTGACATGACGAACCCCAAACGGCACAAAACCATACATACTGTAGAGACTGTAGAGCCCCTTTCCTTCTTTGTTGCTCTTGTTTTAGGGTGAAGGCCTGGAATGTCTTGCTGTGATCCGCACGACACTGAGAGCAGGTCAGAGGCAAGAACTTAGGTCCGGAGTGCTTTGCCTAGACGGTGATGGTGGCAAACATGCGTTTCGTATGCATGGAATTTGAGGTCAAAATCCCTTCCAGGTCTCCTTGCAAGGACGCATTTGGACCTGGAGGTCCATTGGACTCATATTCGTCGCAGAGTTGATGAGGTGGTGCTGGTGAACGGCATTGCGCCCGGAGCTCGATAGAAACCAGCCGGAGCTCGGTGTTGGTGGAGGGGTTGCCTTGTTTTCACACTCGATGTCTCTTCAAATCACTCCAGCGGTTTTGAAGATTGCCTGAGATGAGAGCACCGAAATCCACTGGAAAAGATACTCGTCATCCACAGGTTGACTGGGTGGGCCTGGGTGGCTTGAGGGTGGTTTCTGCGTTCCTTTTGCTCTCCGCCAGGTTTGTGTTGGCTCACGAAGGTATGCTTGACAGATGTACCGGTCCGGTGATGTGTGAGAGTACCTTAGATATGTATAATTTTAGTGTGCTTGACAAGACCCACCAGAAGAAGGAGCATTTTGCCTGGTGGTCTCCCAATTTCAATATGCACGAGGGATCCACCACTCCCGATTTCCACGTGACACATGACTTGCAGAATCTTTGACACGGGGTCCAGTTCATTTCAACACTTTTCTAAAACCATCCCTCAAAACCTTGAATCCGAAGATTGCCACATCTCAGCGAGGATATGCACAGCTTTTGGAGACTTGACGTATCTCCGTTTGCGTCTCTTTTTCATTTGATAGGACATCCTTACGGTGGACTTCCAAATGTCTGAGGTATACCCAGCTCAACACCATTGGACGTGGTGGAAGCTCGAAGGCTGTCGCTTCCAACTGGGCTTGGGCGGCGCTTCCAACTCGGTGCTCCGACTCGGCTTCGAAGAAATGTGGGCCTAACGAGTCAATGTGAGAGAACAAGCACCTAGAAAAGCTATATCAAAAGCTATGGAGTTACTGTTATATAGTGTCCAAGAGTCTAGCAACCAAACCATGCCACCAAAGGTCTTTAGAAGAATTGCTTCAATCTTGTGAGTTCCAAGCGTTCTGAGCTGAACATGGGAGGAGGAGGAACCTCCAGAATGGTTGTTGTATCGCCTGGTGAACGATCGCTTGGCACTCACGATGAGAACTGCCTCACTTCTTCGGAACAGCACCACTCCTGATCCACAGACCACGCCTTTGAATGTTGGAAGAACACGCTGGGACCCAGTTTTGACCTCGCTTGGCCATCTAGGTGCATCCACCGTTGAGATTTTAGATGCAAATCACTCGAATAGGGACAGTGACCAAAGCATACCAAAGCCTTTGTTCAGCATCAAGAAAAGAGGATCTGCGATCTGGCGCCAGGTCTACTTGGTCCAGGATCCCACCGGAGAGATCCTGGCGCTGAAACGCGTCACGTTGGGGTCCCTTGAGGTCGCCTGGGGGGGCGCGCGCCTTGTGGCTCCCACCAGACCTGGGAAAAGCTGTCGGTGGAGGGGACGCCGGATCGAACCGGACGCAGCTCGAACCGGTGGCTATACCAGGTCATGCGGCATGTGTTTTTTCCGATGTTTTTCCGATGCGGCATGTGTACCTGTTTTTGAACAGCCACACTTGCTTCCAAATTACGGATCTGGGTACAAGTCCATTTGTTGAAATGACATCCTGCTGCAAGTTTTGGTTGACTGCACTGTGTTCACCTGTGTGGGAAAGGAAGGATGCACGAGTGTTGAGTGGTCAGTGCCTCGCAGCCGCTTCTCTACAGTTGTTAGCTTCTGCTCTGAGCGTCGATTTACTCCGATGGCAGCTACTGTGAAAGTCACAGTGGAAACCCCGTCGGATGTCGTGGCGGATGAGCAGTTGGGCATTGAGAACACGAAGCCAACTCCAGGAGAGTCCACGTAAGATGCATGCGTACCATGAGGCTGGCAACCCAAGTGATATTGAGAGGTGCATCAGGCAAGATGCCTTTCTATGTGTTTTCAATCCGGGGGGCAGTGGGTATGACTCACATGGCCGTTCACTCATGATCCCCCACTGGTGGACGAAGCAACCATGCGAAGCCAAGCTCTCATTCTTTCCGGTCATTCTGGATGTTGGTGGCTCTGCCCTGGTGTTACCACAACCTGTTTCCAGTGGCTTAGCACCGGCTGCTCCCCAGCTTTCTGACCACTACGACCGATCTTCGACCGCCAGGACAGTGCGTGAAGGTCAATGAGGTGTGCCTTCCCACGGCGGACATCGAGAAGTTCGTCAACGCAACTAGGCTTGGTTCAATCGAGGCGGCTTGGGAACTGCACGCATCGAACTCCGGCCATCGGTCTTGGTCAGGCGAAGAGGGTGGTGCAGATCGAAGGTGTCCGCGGTCGCGGATCGAAGATCGTTGGAGTTTTTTTTTGGGTCGTCTGCACTTTGTAGTTGGGTGTGATGCATGGGGCACAAAGCCAGATGGCTTTGGATCAAACTTGGAGCACTACCCAAACCCCAGAAAAAGGACCATTGCTCAATGCCCGTACTACTCATCAGCCATGCCACTCCTGGGTAACTCGCCCAGGAATATCAGGCACTCAAGAACCAGCTTAAGCCCGAAGAGAAGCCCAAATCTGGGAAAGAAGCCTCTTGGTTTGGAAGAGGGTAGCAGGTTGACATTAAACAAGACAAATTTTCATTCACAGTCTTCGTTGCTGCAGGAGTTGCTCCGCGCGCTTTTAGCTGAAGCAATTGGGACAGGTATGATCGTCTCTTGGATGGCGAATACTCCGGATGTTCGACATTACTGATTTGAGTTTTGTAATATGAGGCCATCGCTAGTAGGTTGGAGGCCATCGCTATGAGATGTTTTTCCTTTTTCCGCTTTTTCTTCTTTCGTTTCTTTATTTTCCATTGACGGACACGGAATGGTTGCCAACCACGGAATGGTGGCTGAGACTCGCGAGTGACGGTGAGTCAAACGGGGCTGACACCCACCCGACTCACATGATCACTAAGTACACCCCTGTGGAATCATGGTGACGCGGATGGCCCCGCCTGTTTGGGCCATTGGGGCCATAGCATCCACTTCCGTCGACCAGGCCGTTCTTGGGCGGGTCGTTGATCCTTCTCCGCACCAGTCGCCCCCGAGCCGGGGATTGGCCAGACAGATGGGCCGAGGCTAAGGGGTCCCCGTTGGATGCCCCCACCCATGCCAGAAATGAAGGATTGAAAGTGTGCTGAGAAACTGAGGTTCTTCCAAGATGTTTCATCTCGTCAAATCACAAACTGAGCAATACACACCGATGGGTGCTTCGTGTTGTGTTTGTGTTGGGCTTGGAAGCTGGCCAGAGGGCCATGGATGCTGTTCACACAAAGCCAGACGCTTTGGACTCCATTAGAGTCTCGTTAGAGCACACCAATAACATCCAAGAACTGTCCAGATTGAAACCACCACATCGACGTGGCGTAGCCGCCTAGCCAGGTAATTTTTGGCTGTGGCTCTGTCTGCGCGTCTTTGTCAGGGGCGTATCAAGGAGTCTGGCAGGTGGCGGCAGTTGCTCGGCTGTTGAAGGGCGTGGGCTCTGCAGGCTCAGCACCACTGGGTGGAAGAGACACTAGTTGGCATAGTGGTTGTTGGGGGGCGTGTCGAGATATTACTCGGATTCCAGCACCAAACTGCAGATGTCTGATCCCTTGAGATCCCTTGAGTAGTTAAGTTATGTCAAAGGAACATAATTGCTGCTCCTCAAACGACTGCTCCATGTATCTGTTCATCTGGACAGTAAGCATCCCATCTGCTTTTCCAATTATACAGTCTGCATTCTATATAATCTATGATCTGTACTGCTCCACCCGCCATCTGCCCAGGGCCCATCCCGTCCCCCATCCCGCCCCGATCCGCGCCGGCGCCGCCCAGGTCTGGGGCTTGGGTGTCTCCTTGGCCATCTACGCCACTGCCGGGGCCAGTGGTGCGCACTTGAACCCCGCCATCACCTTGGCCTTTCAGCTGGCCACCCGGAGGATGGAGGAACCACTCCGGTTTCGGGAGATGGAGGTTTGGATCGGTTTGGATTCGTTTGGATTGTTGAACTGATTGGAGAAGAACATGCGGTGATTACCAGTTCGGTGTTCTCCTTTTTTTGGACTTTCTTTTGCTGCACTCACCGAACAGCGTCCTGACTTTGCTTGTGCGTGAACACGAGGCCGGTTTGGCTTGGATAGGTTTGACATGCGTTTGAGATTCGGTCTGACAGTTTCTCACCCGGAGGTGCCCACTGGTGAGGTACTTTGATTGTGCTCTTGCTCCAGAAAGCGCTGGTAGAATCTGAAAGGTCTTTGTGCATGATTCCTCATGATCAGAAGAACCGTTTCTCACCATTCTCCAGTCTTTCCATGTCTTTTCATCCATTTCACCTCTCAGTGTTTTTCGTGGAACCTGAACAACACCCCGAGGTGAGGCCGAAGGCTCATGGCATGACCTGGTTGAAGTCGGCGCAATACGTCCTGGCGCAGATGTTGGGCGCCATGTTGGCAGGCGCCGGGATCGCCGAGCCAGTGGCGCCGTTTTTTTGGGCGATCCAGCGAGGGCGGTGGGGGGGACCGGAGGAGGTTTTGGGTGGGTTGTGGATGGCCAGGTGGTGGCCAAGGGGTGGCCAAGACGGCGACCAAGGCCAAGGTGAAGGGATTGGATTTGAGTTGTCCATCTCACCTGAAAGGATTGCTCTTCCTTTGAAAATCCAGTGCTGCCACACCTTCTTCACCCTACAAAAAAGAACATCACCGACCAGTCACTGGAATCTTCCTCACAAGGTCTGTAGAACATCCTCTGTCTGGGTGAAGGAGATTCCCTCCTTCCATAGCCTTTCTCAGATTTGGAGGACATCCTGAAGCCACAACACTGAAGCACTTCACATCACTTCACTCACAAGTTCCATCATCTTCACCTCTCTCCACCGCCGTGGCCGATCTCGCAGGCGCCCTGAACTTGCTGATCTACAGTGGCACGATCGCAGCCTTCGAGCGCGAGCAGGGCATCGTCCGCGGCGAGCCGCGCTCCATTTTGTCTGCTTCGGCCTTTGGGGAGTATTTCCCCAACCCAGGAGCCTGCGAGCGGATAGAGGTGAGACGAGAGGTGGTGGGTGACATGACTGACAAATGAGATTGAAGACATGAGGTCCCTAGTGAGGTTGAAGACATCAGGTTTTGATGTTGGATGGCCGTTCGCAAACCTTCGTGCTGAAGATGGGACGTGTGATAGTGTGGCTTGCGTGGTGAAGGGGAACCCTAAATGGCCACATAAAAGACTTTGATTCCTAAGTTTTCCTAATAATAGGGTTGTCATTTTTCACTCGTCACATCCACTGCACTTGCTCATGTATTTTTGCAACACGCCGTGAGCACAACTTCTTGGATGCATAGTTCCTCATCATTGGCAGCCCCAAAGATGATGATATGCCCCCAAACCCAATCGCCTTTCAGCGAAGAGACATGAAGGGAGGCTGGAGTGGAGGTCAAGGGCTGAAGCGAAGAGCATCCGAATCATTGTGAAGGAAGAATGTCTTCATCCATATGACTCTGCCAGGACTCAGCAAGGAATATGGCAGCGGGCCATACGCACAGGAGGACATGGATCTGTGCTGACTTTATGAAACTCCAAAAATAGAAATCTCTTACTGTAGTCGAAGCAGCTATTTCATTTCAACTTCCAATATGCCTTCAATAGGAATACAGCCTCCTAGTCGAACCACGTCGAACCGGCATGTTGAGAGCATGTCCTCCTCCCACATGCCTGGAAAGCGAGGATGTGTCGGTGGTACACGCTCTCTTCACCGAAGCCTGGGGGACCTTCATTTTGGCCTTCGTGATCTTCGGCATCACCAACAGCAGCAACAAGGTCTTGGGCAGCTGGGACATCGAAGCGAAGAACGAACGACACGTATTGGAACACGAACAAACGAATGAACGAACGGAGCCATGAACGCTGTGTGTCTTGGTACCCCAACATCTTGCAAAATTGGGTGGTCATGTGTGGTCTTTGAATTTTGTTGGGTTCGTTGTGATCGCACAGCGTCCTGGCCACGATCAAAGACCCAAGACCCGCACAGCGTGCCTGGGAGAACAGGAGTGGATGAACACCGCACAGTTGGTCGAGCCTGACCGCTGCGCCCTTCTTTGCTTGATTGATGTAAAGATGTAAACTCAATGCATGGCACCAATTCTACATTTCATTACATTACTGTTTACATTTCTATAGACACATGATGAGGAGAAAAAAGGGATCTTCAAGAAAACCAGATTGACTATGGTTCCTGTTCCAATCGTTGTTTTGGGCATTTGAGATATCTCCCTCTGTGCTTTTCACGCCCCTGTTATCTGCTGGATGCCGGATGACTCTCATCTGAGGCAGCATGGAGCGAGTGGGAGTGCCTTTCACCACTGGCATGACGGTGCCTTGGCGAACTGACCCAGAAATATATCCCTTCAAACAGGTCTAAGGAAGGGCCTTTCTTCAAAAGACGGCTGTTGCCTTGGAACGAGGAGAGTTGATGAGCTAAATGGTAAAAGTTGTTGTGAACATCAGGCCTGCTCTGATTGCGGCCCTTACAGTTTATTCACATCAGATGTATTCGCTTCAGATCAGATATTGTAGAAGTGGCCTGACTTATTCATCACTTGCTGGAACTGCCACCAGGTTTCCCTAGTTGAACCGATTGAGCGGCAGGTGGCTGTGCTGCTTCCCCTCTATGCGCCAATCACCCAGGCACGGCAAAGGACAGTTGGCACAGATGGCCGGGTGACTTCTTCACGACCAAACATCACACGAAAATGCATAAGATCTAAGTATACATCTCTTTGCCAAAAAAGAGTCCCTGTGGTCGGGTGGGGGAGGGCAAACCCCAGGTGTACCTCGACAAAGTGGCATCATTCATTTAGTCTTGCGACATCATGACTCAGTGACCCATGAACAACTATCTTGGCTCCTTTTGGACACAGCTGATTCTGCTCTTTTTTCAGTCTCCACCAACCGCACGGACGGCCAGGCAGGCTGGAACCCCGCGCGCGACTTTGGGCCCCGCATCATTGCCGCCCTCGGCGGGTGGGGCTCGGTGGCCATTCCCGGGCCACGTCACTCGGCGACGCGGGGCGGTCGTTTAAGTAGCGTTTCTAGCTCCGAGAACCTTTTGGGGAGCTCCTTTGAGGTGTTCTGTTGGGACCGTTGCCCCAACTCCTGTCTAGTGTCTTTTGGCCATTGTGTTTCGGCATTTTTCTCGTCCTTCGGAGCTCACAGGCAATGGCTTTTGGATCTACATCGTGGGCCCCTGCCTCGGTGCGCCCTTTGGAGCGGCCTTGGCCGAGAAGGTCTTATGGCGTTGAAGCTGTAGAGATGCGGACGGGATTAGAGGAGTCGATGGGTCCGGGCGGATGGAGCACCAGCAGTGCTGCTTGTTGACTCCGTGAAAAGGAACAGCAGCCGGTGCTTTTCAGAAGCTGGTCCGGTCTTGTTTTGTATAGGCCTCGCTCTGGAGGAGCGAGGTAGTTTTTCGTCCCAAGCAGCTTGGGTTGTGGCTCTGCTCTGCCGAAGGTAGCAGCATGGCAGCATGAAGAAGTGCAAAGGAAAGCAATGTGAGATGATAAAGTTGCCGACTGGTTCAGCACGGGAATGCAAGTGCGAGTGTGAACAGGCGCCAACCACCTGGTCACGAAACCCTGTGTTATTGCTAATTTTTGGAGGGCTTGGGGAGGTCCAGGGCTTGGATTGCATTCTAACTCTACTTTGATGAGAATGTACAATGTACCGGAGTTTCCATGCCGACCCTTTCTAGGACAGCAGGGTACAACCCCCCAAAGCCAGATGGAACCAGCATGAAACCTCCATGGACCCCTCCCCCCAAAACCACATTGCTTTCATCTCTTTTCACCCAAGCTCCGACCCGAAAAGCTCTCCAAAAAGCTTCAAACTTCACACCCAAAAACGCCGGTGTTTTTGCGGTCGGCGTCTCCACCGGAACTCCAAGTCCCGACCGGTCCTGCGAGTTCTCTCACCCAGGACCGAGAACTCCAAGCAGCTGGAGGCGCAGAGGAACACGGTGTTCGATGCGAATGTGACGAGAGAAACACGGGTGGAACGCTGTGGACGTTTGTCCGGCCGATGATTCGCACGAAGACGAAGGTCATGGGACGGATAGTATCGAGTGATTCTTTGGGCAGCCAGGGGGTTGAAAAGCCAGCGGAAGATCTGAAGATCTCCACATTTGGAAGATGTTAAACCTTACTTCTTAGATTCAGAAGTGATCCATTGTATGCGAAAAGTACTATACTATTATTGAATGTCTGCCCACTGGTGCAAATAAGTATCATCATCCTTGCAATTTTTCGATTGTTTGTTTTCTTGAACTGCCTCATATATTGACTGCAGAAGAATGAACACCTGGCATCACCTGGTTTGTTCAGGGAAGCCTGACCTTCCAGAGCATGGAAGCAATGAGCCAACGCACGGTATGAATTCCACTTGCGTTCATGATTTTATTTTTTCTTTTTTTAAATAAACACATCCAAGAATCCAGGACACTTCAATGACTTCAAGAGCCGCAACTCATTTTCCAGGTTTCTCTCACCAACCCATGGCCGCTGGAAGACGCAAACCCATTTTCCTCCGTCCCCCGCTCAACGAACGGCCAGTGGTCCGACCGACAGTGAGGCCTTTCAGAACGAGGTGGTCCTCCTCCGTCAGCTGCGGGATTGCGACTCAGTGATCCAGGTGCAACCCGGTGATCCAGGTGTTTGGAGATGGATGAGATAATGCAGACTCTTGATTATCAATGAATGAGAGGGATCTGAACATGTATGTAACATGCCCTAAAGCGATGTCTTACACATCGTTTTAGCAATGTCCTCTAATGGACAGAATATGGAACTTTGCAGAATCGAGGAAGTGCAGCACACAAATCGTTTGTTTGGATTGGCCCATAATCTATAATTACCTACTTGATGCTACCTGATGAACGACTTCACCCAGAACCAGAATCCCCTCAAGAGATTTCTTCACCCTTCACCTGCGACTCTTCACTGGGCGGAGGTACATCGCGCGCGACATGGTGCGCCGGCTCGTGTCCTCGCCACAGGTGGTCGACGCAGAGGTGGACCGGGAGAGGGGCCGCATCAACATCGTGATGGAGGCGGAGAGGAGAAGTTTTCGTCCAAAAGGGCCCAAAGGGGGAGGGGCAAGTGGTAGAGCGAAGAGTTCGCGTGACGTTGCTTTCGTGTTCGCAACCGTCCGCAACCGTTTGAATGTGATTGATAAGGCCGTGCCGTTGGATGGAAACCTGAAGTGTCAGATTCGTGTGAAATACATAGAAACGTAACATGTTGAAGTGTGAAGGATGATTTTGTTGCGCAGGTGCGACGTTTCGTCAGAGATCAGTTTCTTTCGCTGTGCCGGATTTGCTTGTCGTGCCCGTGCCTCGAAGCTGTGTTTTTGTGACAGGTCTCAGCTAAAATTTAAATCATTGCAATTTTGGTTCATGTGCTCAGAAAGTGTCGAAATTATTCCAAGCGTGTGGTGTAGTGCAAGTTTTGCTGAAGACATGAAGGTGTCATGTCGTCACTTTTCGTGACGTGTCCAAGTTGAATTTTTGTGGCAGACGTCGGGAGTCGTCAGGTTTTGACGTTTGGGGGAGTGCGGCTTTGAGGGGCTGGGATTGCGAAACTGCTTGGTACGGCTGCTTGATGTGTTCTCTCTGATGAGGCTTCCCGCTTCACTTGTGGAGGATGAAATATTACGAAGTGCTCGTTTTCAAAGCTTTGACGCGTGAATTTGGGAGGAAGTCTCGCTCGAAGTGCTCGTTTGGATACTTGATGCGTGACTTGTGGGGGGGGAAGTCCGTACGAAACGCTTGTTTGCGAGAGTTGACGCCTGGGGGCTGTGGGAGATCTGGGCCCAGAAGTGGTATGCGGTGCGGCGACAGAACGTCCTTTCAAGGGAGTGGAGCCTTTCCCAAAATCGGCTTGACAATTTTATGGCCAACCGTGAAGCCTTCTGCTTTTTGCTGATGGTGGTTTGTTGCCAGGTCACACTGGATTGCCAGGTCAGACACGCAGACTTCTTTATGCAGCTTTAAACATTGACTGCCTAATTCGGTATGTCCCTTGTGCCACTCCCACTCGCGCATGAGTGACCAAAGTAGAACCTGTGAAGTTAATTCAAGCAGCAGAATATTCACAGGCACTTCTCACTCGGGATTTTGACCGACTTTTCATGATTTGGAGCAAACGTGCTGAAGTCTTTCTTTTTGAAGCCGGATTGCAAACTTCGGAATGGAAAAGAGTCTTAGGTAGAGCATCTCACCGGCAACCCAAAGAGGGGCATGTTTGCAACAAAGTTTGTCTTCTTTGTCGGGAGCTCAGTTTGCGAGGAGGCGCCAAGCTTAGCTCGTTTATGGCCAAGCAGGGCTCCGTCAGCTGAACGCTTTCGCTGTTTGTCTTCTTTGTCGGGAGCTCAGTTTGCGAGGAGGCGCCAAGCTTAGCTCGTTTATGGCCAAGCAGGGCTCCGTCAGCTGAACGCTTTCGCTGAAACGGGTTGTCTGGGCCCTTGTGTATCAGTTGTGCTTCGGACCTGGTCGAGTGCACGCACTGACTAGTGGCAAAAGAAAGGGGATCGACGCAATCCCAACACATGGAGAGGAATTACTATTTACCTCGGTCGGATCGAAGATGGTGGCAAGGATTTGTGCTCATGTGGCTTGGTGGAAAGTGCGTTGCGTGGCTCCGTGCGACGGGAAACTCGTGTGTAAATGCGGTGCGCGCTGGTGAGCGGGATGATTGGTGGCGTCAATGGGCCGGCGTCACATGGCTGCTTTTAGTCCGTTGCAGCGAAATTTTGTCCCTGATATCGGCGTGCCATGCGGCTTGGTGCGACCTTGGTGGAACGTGCATGGGTTTGCGTGTCTCTGTCGTGCAAGAGTGTCGTATATACGAAAGGGTCCGACGAGAGCATCTCCCAAGATTGTGCGACAAGAGTGCCTGCAAGGGTGCCCCATTAAAGGTTCCCGCTCATTCTCAGCGCGGGTTGGAAAATTCGCGCCGAAGTGGGTTGGACCTTTGGTGGACCACCTATTTAAAGACAATAAGACACGAGGTCCACCTTTCTGGGGACGGGGTCCTCAGAAAGAGGGCACCCGCAAAGATGGAAACTTGGGGAGATCTTAAACCCGAAAAGTCGCATCGGAACGTGTTATATAGACATTGACATCCTTCATTAACTCGTTTCAACAATTAAAAACTCTCCGGGCCGAAGGGTCTTCGGTCTTCTTTCTTTTCCCCTTTGCAGAAACCCTTTTATATAATAGTGACAGTGATTCTTCATTAGACGAACAACTACAGTAAAACTGTCGAAAGGTGATGTCGCTGTGCCATGCGGTTTTGCGCGGCCTCGGTGGAAAGTGCGATTGCGTGAGTCCATGCCATTGCAGAAGGAAAACATGCTGGTGTACTGTAAATGCGGTGTGTCATGGTGCTCGGACAGGGTGGACAGAGGTGGACTGTATCAGTATAAGGTTGTTCAGGATTCCAAGGACTAGATATATACATGAATTGACTTCAGGACATTCTACTTGCCATCCATCTGTATAAATCTAAGACGCGCAAGAAACTCCATTCCCTTGCTGTTGTGGCTCCGACCAGGTTCCGACCCTAATAAAAACAACTCCACCAAAAGCGGCAATGTTCGTTGACTATAGTCTTAACAAATATAAACCGTATTTAGGGGTCTCCGACATGAAATTTGTGGGCAACGTTTTAAAACGAGGGTCTCGGGATTAGTTTGCTAGGGCTGCTAGAGATCTTTTCGTTTGTGGGGTTGTGTGTTTTGAAGGAAGGGATTCCTCCTTGATCCTGATTCGGCAAGTCTTCATGACACTGTCAAAAGCAGCATCGGTAGCTGTTCCCTCTACAAGATTGAGGTGATCCGATAGACTCATACACTAATATTCTGGAAGGGTTTGCAGCCATGTTTCACTTTGCTAAACGCCCTTGATGTTTTGACCTATGTATGGAACCTGAAATCTTGCCAACTTGCCAGCAGACCAAACATCTCAACCCTCTTAACCTCCACCAAAGAAGGCCAGCTGATCTCAATGCCCAAGTTCATGGAGACACACGCCAATTTTTCAGTTACATTGGGATTAGATGGCCTGTTTCCCATGAAAGGGATCACAACAGATCCCCGGCTGCCGTCACTGATCCTTGCTGTTTTTGGTTTTGGCAGGCGGGGGACATGGACCTCGGCCGTTTTCTGCAGTCCCAACCGAGGCGAGAAAAAACGAAAAAACAAAACGGTTGAGCCACGGTCGGCGAGGTTGGACAGATGGTGTGGTTGTAGGCTTGTAGGGGTGCCTCGAAATAGGGTGCCTCCACAAGTGCTGAAATGTGCAGACGTTTCCCTTCTTCCACTACATGCAGTTTCATTCTTAGGCTTTCTGATCTCTACTGTGGTGTCTTTAGTTTGTTTGTGCATTTTCCGCGGGTATCTTCTTTTCAGCAGCTGCACTTTCAAACCAGCATGACTGAACGTTCGACCCACGGTCGCAGCTCACCAATGGCGCTGTTATGGCGCTGTGACGGCGTGTCGGAGGCTGAACATGATGCAGATCCAACACCTCTGGAAGCAGATGCTGGAAGCAGTTCAGGCGACGCACAGTTTGCCGATGATTTCACAAGTTCCTTTTGGGAGTCGTGACACGCTGTGCGACAGAAGTCCATAACGAGGGAGGGTTTTGGGTGGATGGGTTGAAAAGACCCTGCATTGGTTTGGCTGAAGAGGGTGGTGGGCATGCTCCCTTTTTTGCCAGAATGGTATATATGCCTTTTCATGCCTTTTCAAAAGGGCCACTTGCATTGCAGCCACCGACTTGGCTCTCAGCAGGTCTGGCCCCGCGCGCTGCTTAGAGCGCGTCGACCCCCCACACCAGCGCAAGCTGCGGGTCCGCTGGGTCCCCGGTGACCGGTCAGGTCATTCACCAAGAACGCATCGTGCACTCAGTGAGGGGGCCGAGCAGGGCCGAGCAGGGAGTCATGCCAGGTTAGTTCAAGAACACCTCCCCAAAAGGTGTGTGAATGGGAATCCATGGGTATCCTCTATTGCCCTCTGTCCAGAGAACTTGGTTTCTAGAGTCTAGAGGAAAACCTATGCTTTTTGGGGGTTCGCCGTGCAAAATCTCCAGCTTGCGAGACAAGGGTTTTGGTCGTGTGTTGGTGGGATTTTGGGACTGGCATCCCCAGTTTGCCTTCCCAGCATGCCAAGATGTTCTTCTTTTCTGGGTCACGCCGGATCATCCACTCAACACGCCTTTCTGTGCCGCACATTCCGCATCATGCGCACGGTTTTCACCTCGAACGGACCGCACTGTTTGGCCCAGCCCAGTCCGTCCGCGTTTCGATCTCAACGGAGACAGATCCGCGTTCGTCATCCGCATCATGGCCCGCGTCGCAGCCTTGTGCATCCTGGCAGTGGCCCTTTGGCGCCACAGGGCGAAAGGGGGTGCAACATGCATGGGAGATGGAAACATGCATGGAGCAATGGCTCCAAGTGGAATGGACTTGCTATGGTTGGTGGGACTATGCGAAGTTGTGAAGATTCAACCAAGATCAGCTTCAAGCTGAAGTGTTCTGAAGGGAGAATTCAGCCTCTTCTAGGCGGATTTATATCTCTGGTCATTCCATTGAGCAGGATCTTTCTGAGCCTTGCTACCAGTATGTTGGTTCAACAGAGAAATCAATCGAGTCCTCCAAGCGATCTCCTTTTTGTTGAGGCCCCCATATAGATAGAAAATGGTTTCCAATACATTTTCACAGGGGATTTACTTTATCATGTTTGGGGTCATGGCCACTGTACATTTGTCACAAGAAGCCTAAAACTAATTGAAACTAAGTTCCTTTCTTCTCCTTGCAGTCGAAGAACACCACGTGGGTCGTTTCGCCTGCGGCCAAGGCCCTGTGCTTCCTCCGCAACATGGCCTTTGTCCCGGCCCCCGCGCGAAGCGCTTCCGTCGATCCCGCAGTGGCGGCAGGTGCGGTGGTGGTTGCGACTGCTCCGATGAGCGCCGAAGCGTTTGTCTTCAAGGGCCACTTGGAGATGGAAAGGACAGGGATATTAGGGACTAGAACAGGGAGACGGATGAAAAGCAAGTGAGATTGCATGCGTTTTTGGCTCTGATTGGTTGAAAGGAGAACTGTCTTTGGATTACTGGGTAGTTGATGAGTTTTGTTGATTTCCTGTCACCTTGAGACGCACCGAGACCTTGAAAAGGGACATCTATAAGTCTACAAGATTGAGATGGGGACGATGACAAAGGTCTCAAGTACTTGGAAGCCGGCTGACTTGGCTACTCCCCTCCCTAGGGGGATGATGGGGATGCCTTGTTCCTGCGGAGTTCTGCTCATCCTACTCTAAAGCCACTTGATAGGAGCCGCCAATTATGTCGCATTTGGACCGTGGACGCCCACCCGACTGAGCAGGAGATGAGACAATGAAGAGTGCAAATGATTGTGAATATAGCGGTTTCAGCTGCTAAACACTGTCTCCTGTTTGCTTTAACTGAACATGATTACGGGGATCGATTGCACTCTTCTTTGGCATGGTACCATCGTTCACCCCGGACAACTACGACCACTCACGATTTGATCCAGCCACGCATTCCGAATCTGTAGGTGCAGATCTCAAAGTGGTTCGTTTCTTTTATTTTTTTTCTCAAACCGGGAACTATAAATTACAAATAGCTTGAGCAGTATTGCGACGACCTGAGTATTTTTCTGGAAGGGAGTCAACTTCACTGTGACCCTCTGACTTTGCCGTTCCCTCTGAGGCAAGGAGTACTTTGATGTCTTCTATGGCATCTTGGAGCTAGAAATCACTGTTCTTCGCACACACGGCAAATGGATCATCCACAACAAAGAACCATCACCATCTCTTCAATCACCACAGCGCGTTGAAAGCAACGGACCACCAACCTCGCAAGAGATGGTCGTTGCTTTTTCCTCAACACACCGCCATCTCGAGGGCATCAGCAAATCCGGAGGAGGTGAGCTTGGACAGGGAAGTTTCCTCCACTAGTGGCGTGCACACACACACACACACACTACCGGTCATTAACATAAAGACATGGCAATTGGATGAATAGGTATATACATATAGGTACCTTCTCAAGAAAAAATATTGGACAAGCACGTGTTTCAAATGTGCTTACTCACCAGAAGGGACACCCTTTTTGGATTCCGATATTGTTTATTCTTGCAGCCTCAACGAGCCGGGAAAACCGTCGAGCTAAACTGGTCTGTTGCGGGACGGGTTTTGTGACAAAGACCCCAAACTTTGTTCTTGTGAGGATATGCTCATGCCTATCCCACTCTGAGCCTTTTGCATCAACAACTTTGGGCCTGCAATCCTTTCTGTTTGTGCCAGGCTTCAACAACCTGGTCGAATGACCCCTCCGGCGAGTATTTGAGTTGTCCGCACACTTGCAGGAAGATCCAAACAAACACAGATCCTCACCACCTTTTTAAATAGTTCGATCACTTCCCCCTGCCTTGGTTCGATCCTTGTTAGACCTTTAGGATGATCAATGATCTCCTTTTCGCCCCAAGCAACGACGGACTCGGTGGAAGAACGAGCCCAGGCATCGAGCCGTTGGCGTGGGCCTTCTGTGGCTTCGTCATCGTCTACTATGGCGCGGTGGTGAAGAACGCGGCACAGAAGTGGCCTGAAAGGATGATGTGGTGCACCTTTTTTTGGGGGGGTGAAGAAGCGTTAAGTTTTATGTAGCCTTTTCCTTGCAGCTGAAGGTCGGCTGAAGCCGCTGAAGGTCCCAAAGGTTGGTGCTGTGACGTTATCATATAGCAGTTCGATCAGAACACGAACTGGCGGGTTTGGGTTGGAACTTGCGGCTTCCGTCATCCAAGCGACGCGGGTTCTTCCGAGCCTTTGTGGTGCAGTCTTGTTTTTTGGGAGAGGCACAAGAAGCTACTAGTAACAAAGGGCATCGCTACTAGGAGCAAGAAGCCACTAGTAGCTCCTGGCATTGCTATATACTAGTAACAAGAAGCTACTAGTAGCTATACGCTCAGTGAAGATGGTTGGGAGATGAGTGGTCACCCGAGGGACGCTGGTGGAAGACGATGGAAAGAAGACGGTTGGAGTATCACAAGACAGGAGTACCATGGAGTTCCATGGAATATCGTTGATGGTTTAATTAGGCATAACTTATGGAGGATGGTCTGCATGTAGAGAGAGGAAGATGGTCTCCGGGTCTGGTCCATGTCTAGCGAAAGAGGATCTATGACATGGATTGATTCAACACTGTTGGTGCAGCGGAAGATCCATCTCTCCAACTGGTGGATGTTTGTTTTTTTCCTTCAAACTACCCAAGTTTGCCATATATTCTGGGGAGGCCTTACAGGTCTGGGCCACACATGTGTGTGACATGCGCATTCTGACTTCGCAGCTGCGGCTTCACCAAGGTACAACGTCCCCATCGCGAAGATCCCACCTAAGGTTGGAACATTTGTGGGCAAGGCGAGCACGGGAGCACGACCAGTCATCGGCAAGGGCTTTCGACAGATTGGTGGACAGACGAACGGATATGGAACACGTTGAAGACCCGGCCATCCAACACTTCTTAAAGTGGGTGTGTGACTTTTCAATTAGCATGTCGCCCTCCCCAAAAGCAACAAGAAAATGTGTCTGGTTGTGTTTCTGCTCTGGCCTTTGAAGCTGCGTTTGATCCAAAACGTGCCCAAGAAACAGTTTTGCAAATAGAGTCGCAAAGGAGCCCTAGAGACAACTTCATTGCCAGTGGCCAAAACATGCGGAGGAATATCAAATATCTGATAGATTGTGTTGATCGGAGACTGACATGAGGACGCGAGCTTCCAACTTCTATGGTTGCTCACCAAACATCCAAGGTTTGTTGGGGAACCGTATTGAGTTTGGCCATCCCTTCTATTTGCTGAAGTCTTCCTCACTTGAAACGGGAATCAAAAGCTTACTTCCATCGCTCAAACGAGGCACGTCCCCTTTTACAACTGAGGCGAAGTTGCCCCGTTGGTGCTTCGACTCAGAAGCACAGACACAAATCACCGGAGAAATTCTCTTGATCGGCTATATATATATATTATATTGATATATTAAGTGGAAGCACAATGGATGTATTTGGAAGGTTGGGTGGTTTGGATGATGTCCTTTTTCATTGAGACCTGGCGGTAACGTCATGAAACCTCCTGTATAAATTACATGCAAGTGGCATCCCCTGCTGTTTATTAACCAGCAAGTAATTTCATTGACCAGCAAGTCCTGACTTGCTTCGTGGCATCCCCTCGGAAGCTTCGTGACCTCCAGGAAGTTGAGGTGGAGGTCCTGAACCGACGCGGCATTCCCAAGCAGTAAGCTGCTGGCCCGACGGAACAGATGCGGCTGGCCCGACTTTTTTGGAGCTTCTCCCTGGTGCATTCGACACGTCATGACTCGCGAAGACAACGTCACTCGCGAGGCTTCGGGATCAAAAAGGGGTGCACGGTGGAGGCCGAGATGGGACGTCCACAGGGCCCGGGGAGTGCATGATTCGAGAGAGGGAGGGAGTGGCAGGGTGAGAAAACGTAGACGTATCATGATCATGAATGATGTCTATGGTCTATATAAATATACAAATATACACACTGCATACGTGTACTGCAGAGTTGAGTTGTTTTCTTCAATCGCAGTCACTTTTGGTTCCTCTACGCAGAGTTCGTGCTAAGGACTTGAAGCCTGGAAACTTCCTGCTCATCAACGGGCGCTTGAAGGCACACCGGGGACCGCAGCGGTCACCACCGGGACACCACGATTCTTAGGACCAAGACTTGCCCGATTGGCGGAGGAGGGGAGGGACAGCCCAACACCAACTGCTGCAGTGCTGTGAAATGTCAGTGATGGATGTTGGTCTGTCAGAGACTTTGCCCCTGGTCAATGGTTTGCTGGTTGGGTCGACTGCAGCGGCCGTTCTGACGTTTCCTTCCAAACTTGACCGGACGTCTCTTTCAAGTGCACATCAAGCATGCCTTTTTGATGTTTTCAGTTCTGACATCAACACAGATCACATTGAGCATGATATTTTCCCAAAACAGGTCCCCCCAAACTAGGGGGTGGTTTCAGCTGTTGGCCTCTCCGTTGGTTCTTCGACTGGTTCTTTGGGGAACAAGCAGTCGAAGACGCCCGCCAGCTACGGCCAGCTGTCCGACCGTGAACACACTGCTTTTGGGTGGCTTCCCCAACCCAACAAACCCTTGAATTTGCTTGAAATCGACTCTGACCGGATGGTCCTTTCCTCCCTCCCAAGAAAAGATCCCCTCATCTCTGCCTGGTTGACACTGTTCGATCGCCGAAACAGTACTACAACAACAACGACAACAACACCTAGTCGGCACCAGGTGATCGACTTTGGGATTGCCAAACGCATCTCCAACGACACCACGAACATCCATCGCGATGCCTCGGCTGGGGACGCCTGGCGCGGGTGGGTGGATGTGGCCCTAACCTGGGAAGACGTGGACGCTTTTGGGACATGAACATGGTGGACCTGGTGCCTTGAAGACTGATAAGTCTGGCATTGGAGAAGTATTAAGATATATTAAGATGGCTGGAAACAGTCATGAGGCCCCGGACAATCTATCATGATATTATATCTATATATATATATATATAAATGATGTTGGTTCTGAAGCAGGTGGAGTGTCATAGGATGAGTACAGTGAGTACAGGCTCAAGCAGGCTACAGAACAGAGCTCTGCTTCAAATTTCAGCACCCTGCATCCATTTAAAGTGCCAAGTTGGGCTCAAGTCGGCTTTAGAGTGGCTATACTTTGCAGATCCAAGTTTGGCTCCTCCGGTCGGGGGTGTTCATGAACACCACCCCACAAAAGAAAACCACCATTTCCCGTGAGGGAGTGAAGCTGCTTTTCCGCTTTTCATGCCAAAACCCGCTTCCCGCTTCCCTCTCTGGACAGATCAAGCCTCTTTCGCGAGCCCACTTCTACCTTCCAGGTGGGTACCTTGAGCTACATGGCTCCTGAAGCTGTGAAACAAGGTCAGCTGGACCCTCAGACGGATCAGTCCACCTGGTCGAGGTTGGCGAGGGAGGGGGACTGGCGCGACGCGGGAGGTTGGCGCGGCCCGTGGTCTTCGGGTTCAGAGGTGCCTGAGTCTCGAGTGTTCTGCACTGGTCACACTTCTTAGGTGCCATGGCGGAAGAACTATGCATCAACACTGGCAATTTTCACAACTCAGGGTCGGTTCAGGTGAAAATGGGAACAT